ACCCTGCATAAAAAATATAAGCTAAAATAACATTCATTATGTGACATAAGCCTGAGAGATAGGAAAAAATTAAAAATGGCTTAGTCTAGGTCGAGGTGTTTAACGGAGGAGATGTAACTAACCAATGTGCAGACTCGAAACAACAGGGTATTTTGGTCAAGGATACAATAAACAGTTCAATTTGAAACAATATGGACTGAAGTATTGAGAGGACATCCAAATGGAAGTATGGTTGGTTTAGCATACTAGTGTAGATAGCAAAAGACACATCCAGGATAGGAGTCTCCTCTATGTTTTCAGGAATAACAAGAATAATAGTTTATCCCCATCTTCCTCACATATTTATCCATGCCTGTTATGGAACTCCACATGTGGGTGACATGAAAGGGTGCCTCTGAGCAATATCTTTGAAAATATGGCAGACTAATGGATCTTGACCAATAAACTTGTATTCTTAGTGATCACAACTCCTAACTCAAGAGTGCACATTCTTGCTCCATTTTGAAATACCAATATTAATGTGACCACTTTTTTTCCAGTTAAGTATTACAGAATTAATACTTACCTTACTGAAACTCATCAATATCATAGAACTTATTTAAATCCAAATTTGGAGCTTGCTGAAACAAGACACATGAGTACGTGAGGAAGTTGAGAAGTAAACACATGTCATTGGAGAAACAGAGGTGGAGATATGGGTGGATCTGGGTTTGGTTAAGAATGAATCAGACCATCCCACAGAGGATGGCTCCTCCCTGGATGGACTTACTGTATAAAATGGCCATTCACTCAGACTGCAGTACCCAGCAAGCTCCTTCAGCTACATTTGATTCAATCTTCTTACAAACAAGGTAAGGAGAAATATAGTTAACTTTGCTGGATCAGTGTTAAGACAAGAGGATACCTGCATTCTTAGGCAAAAAGCAAAATTATATACACACATACACACACACACAGAGTTTGTGACATTATATGTGTGTGTGTGTGTGTGTGTGTTTGATTTTATTTCCATGAGGCCAGTTAATGCTCTCTATGCATTGTTGATTTGTCTATGTTTTCATTAGTTTTCTTTGTCCAGTTCTGCTGCCATTGGCATAGAGATTTTCTCTTACATCAGAGAGCTATATACATTCCATATTTGATTAGTTTACATGTAGTTATAAAAGATATTTAGCAAACAACCAGTAAGTATGTCTACTAATGGCAAGAATGGTGGAGAAAATGGAGAGTCATAGAACAGCATAATGGGAGGGCAGGAGTAATGCAGATTGGATGCTCTGGAAAATTATCTTTCCTTTGTCCTTTTTCTTTTCTTTTCTTTTCTTTTTCTTTTCTCTTTTAACCACTGAATAAAAACTTAGATTGACATAGAATTATATATAATACATAGATATATAATCATCAGAAAATTTTTATGCCTATTATTTCAAACACTTATAATGCTCAAACTTTATGAGATGAAAATAAAAAAAATCAAGACATCTACTTGAAGCCAAAACCTATTCTAATTTATAATCATTACTCTACAAGGACATTATTTATTATTATTTATTACTATTATTATTATTATAGAATTAACACAATATAATAATATTTCATGGTTTTTTATCTTCAGACCACAGTGATTTGTCACTGTGCCCAGTCAACTCTGTGTACATAGCATTTCACACCCACTTACCTTTGCCTCTCAATCTACCATGACTATTCTGGTTCAGTGTACACTTGGGTCCTACCTCTGATTATTATAAGTAACTGCCACATGTTTCTCCATTATTCAACTGATGAACACTTGAGCCATTTTTATGATAAAGATTATAAATAAAGATGCTATAACATTTGTGAAATAATTTTGGCAATGTATGTGTATGCGTATGTTTCTGTTAGGTAGGGATATTCTAGGGCTAAACTTATATTCCAAAGGACCTCTGTCAGTTTAAGCATCCTTTGGTAGTATAAAAGACTTCAATTTTACATATCTTCATCAATGTTTGAAGTTATCATGTTTCTCTAATTTTAGTCACTTGTGAGCATATTGCATCTTCACACTATCATTGCAATTTTTCTCTTCTTAGTAATTAATGAGTTTGAGCATTTATGAAACATGTATTAGCAATTTGGTATTTTCTATAAAGGGCTTCTAGAAGAGATTCAGTTTTCTGTTGAGTAGTCTCCATTTCATGGATATTGTTTTTACATTAAGAATAGTTTTTTGTTGTTGTTTTTTTTTTTTTGGTTTTTGTTTGTTTTTCGAGACAGGGTTTCTCTGTGTAGTCCTGGCTGTCCTGGAACTCACTTTGTAGACCAGGCTGGCCTCGAACTCAGAAATCCGCCTGCCTCTGCCTCCCAAGTGCTGGGATTAAAGGCGTGCGCCACCACCGCCCGGCAAGAATAGTTTTTATTAGTTAAAAATTTTATATTTTTCCTTCCATTTTCACTTTAACAATATTAGAAATGAACTGAGATTTTTTTTACTTTCAACGTAGTCCAACTTTTAAATTTTCTTTATGATTAGTATATTTTGTTTTTATGGAGCCCAGTGACTTGAAACTTTCTACGCAGTCTAGGCTGGCTTTAAACTCATAATCCTCCCATTTCAGCTTTTTAAGTGCTAGCACTTATGATTGATATTTTTTAGTTCAACTTCAAAAGCATTTCTTATTCCAAAGACTCAAATATATTCTTCCATATAATCGTTCTTACGGTTGAATCTACTGAAAAACATTTTTTCCATACATTAATCTAATTAATCCCAAATCATTTACTAAATAGGATGTCTATTCTCAGCTCAGGAGGTGGCTCAGTCAGTAAACTGCTTCCCAGGCAAGCGTGAGGACCCAACTGAACCCCAGAAATTATATAAGTCCTATCCTGGCAAAGAGGCACATGCTTATAGTCAGTGCTAGGGAGACAAGAAAAAAAGCAGGCAGATCCTAGAGCTCACTGGTTAGCCTAGACTACTCAACGAGCCCCAGGTACTCTATTTGCAAACTAATTTGTCTTCTGAAGTTAAGGCAAATGAATTTTGTAAATAAAACTTGCTTAGATTTGACATTACCTTGTAAATTCTTATTTGCATAATGCTTGGATCTGCTTGCCATTTTTTTTTCATATTTTTACATATGTATTTATGAAATAAATAGTACCAAAATTTGTTTCATGTAATAAACTACTGAGTTGATACTAGATTCACAAACAAGTGTCTTTCTCTTTTTGATTCTTTAAAGAAATCTCTGTGGTTTTAGGATGATTTCTCCCTAGATTTTTAATAAAATTTACAATTGAAGCCACTTGACTAACATCTTCACACCCACTGGAATCATATTCACTTAAATTGCAATTTTATTAACAAGAAGAGAGCTATTTACAGTTTTTACCTATGGCCTGTTTCATTAAGGTATGATGTGCATTTCTAGAAAAGTCTGTTTTACCTACATTCCAACCCGATTCCAACACAGGCTTTCATACTGTTTCCATTGTTTCTCTAAAGTTTGCAGCATCTACTGTAATGTCTCCCCCCACCCCGTTTTGATACTGGTTATTTATGATTTTTCTCGAATAATTTGTAGGGTTATTGGCTTTATTAGATACTTTCAGGGTGGGATATTGTCTTTGTTACTTCTCTAAGATTTCTATTTCATTAATGTTAGTTGTCTTTACTATTTATTCATTATAGGGTCAGCCTTAATTTCTGGCTCTCATTCAATCTTCTTGAGAGCAATGCTTACGTTATTGATTTTTTTATCTTCTCATTAAAAAACTATATTCATTTGAGCTATGAAAACCCACATGGAGTTGATAAAGTCAACCAGCTTTGTTAGATTACATATCTCAACCTATTTTATGAATAATGAAATATATTAGTATTATTATTTTATTATACAGATATACATTAAAATTTTTCTCATGTATTTATTCTTCAACTATTCCTCATTCTTCACTGATTCCCTATGTTCCCAAGTAAGATTATCTCTTACTTTGTCCATTACTGTATCTACCACATGATGAGTTGTTTTCCAGCTTGAATATAAATCATAATAAACTAAAATGAGCTTTATAGTTCTACAATAATAGCACCACACAAACATACACACACACACACACACACCAGTTATCTCTGCTCTCAAAAGGAAGGCTGATCCAAAACACTCAAACTATTAAACAAAGTACCATTTTAGAAAAAAAAAACAAAAAAGAAAAAACTTTTTGAACATTTTCTGACAGAAATCATCATTCCATCACATTAAGAGACAAATTCAGTAATGGTTCACTAATAATAAGAACGCTCTACTTGAAGCAATACCTATATCTCTCACTTTAACTTACATTAATTGTACATTTTCTTTTTCCCATTATTTTCATTGCGTCATAAGGTTTAAATCCAATTCTTTCACTGGGTAATCATAAACTTGCTAAACTATATATTCAAACAAATCATATCAAAAATACAGCATACATACTTCATTTTGCCCAATATTCCAAGGTCCATAAGGCTTTAGGTTAGACTACTATACTCATATTTGACAAACTTATGCTACCTATAGTATTCTGGTTTTGCCTGTTATATAAGTCTAAAAGTCATCATTACAATGCTTTTATATATAATAAATACTTATTTGATTTATGGACATGTCTACTACTTTCTGTTCATTGACAAGATAAGCAAGGGAACTTTTTACTACCCTTCTAGGAGGAACAGCTGGTTTACCAAAAAGGAGTCTTGCCAAGAGCAAACTGAGGTTTAAGAGTTTAAGAAGCTAGTACTATGAATATCTTTAAAGCCATAAAATAGGCATTGTCAGTTGCCAAAGTCACTTGACGTTTTACTCTGTAGACATTGGAGAAGTTGTCCTTTAGCATATTTGAGTTCTAAAATGCACTCCTTAAAAAATACTGAGTTTAAACTATAAAAGGCATTACAATAACAAATAAACCAAAAAATTAAAAGTAAAAAGGAAACTAACTGTGTTTCACTTTTATAGGTGCATATATACTACAAAAAGATGGCCACTCTCCTCGAAAGTGTCACTACTATAATTAAAATATTCGTAAAATACTCAAACAATGAAAACGAGGATGAAACACTGAGCAAAGAAGAGCTGAAGGAACTACTGGAAGAAGAATTACAGGCAGTCTTGAAGGTGAGAAACATATAAAAGAACTGATGAGACAAAGATTTCTGTATCTTAATAGTAATCTAGCCAAAGATTGTATGAAAACGTTTTATTTACTTGACTAGTACAAGAAAGAGCCATAGTTAAGACAAGATGAAACTTACTTAGATTTCTTTAAAGGTGTACCTCCATGTTCTTCATACATGAGACACCGTATTTGAAACTCAGATACTATGAATATTTAAATAAAAAAAGAGAAATGAAACCTATCAACTAAAATTATTACAGTATTTTTCCCAAGATTAAGTGGACTATACTTGGAAAAGATTTAAATCATGAAATGAATAAAATTCTGATGAATGAAATAAAAAGAAGAAAGAGTAATTGATCTTAGGGAAAAGTGACATGATGTAGCAGATATTTAAACATTAACTCACATATTTCCAACAGTAACAGACAAAAAGAAAAAGAATAAAAATACTACAAAAAAAACCCTAAAGGAATAGAAAGGAATTTTGGTTCTGAGGCGTGATAAATGTATTTTTGAATTTTGAATTATAAAGTTGATATTAGTATTATTTAAAAAAAAAACCTTTCTTAACTTCTTACAGAATCCACATGACCAAGACACTGCCGAGGTATTCATGCAAATGTTAGATGTGGACCACGATGACAAACTAGATTTCACTGAGTATTTACTAATGGTGCTAAAGTTGACACAGGCATACTATGAGGCATTTAAGAATAAAAAATTACAAATACATGGATCAAAGAAGAGAAGTAAACATGATTATGAAGGACTAGAAGACGACAGAGAAGAAGAAAAGAGTCGTAGAAGGAAGCATCGTAGAACTGATGGAAAGAAAAAAACTGAAAGATCGAACAGCCCAACGGAAAGAACAGGAAAAAGGCATGGATCAAAGAGTAGAAATGAGGACAGTGATTCAAACAGAAGAAGAGAAACAGAAAAACACAGGCACCATGAAGACTCGACAAGAAAACAAAAAAGGGGTTGTGTTTCAAAAGAAAGAAGAGATCGCGGAAGTAAGAAACATGGACAGAGCAGAGAAAGAAACTATGAAGAAATCTATGAAAATGGACAATACAGTGAAAACTGGGAGGAAACATACAATAATTGTTACTACAAAAGTGAGGACAATAAAAAAGAGCAAAGAGAAGGAGGGAGAAGAGGTGTCAGCTACAGCTCAAACTCGGGGGTCCAGCAGGGTTACGAGAGTGAGCAGGCCTCTGACAGCTCCAGTCGCTCGGGGGCCCGTCAAGGCCAGGC